CGGTGACACTCGTTCTTCCTCCCAAATACTCCTGAGTAGAATGTGGATAATCTCTACAGTTACTTTCATATCTGACTTCAATTTTTTGGCTGGTATATTGTCAGGTCCTGCTGTTTTCCCACTCTTGGTTTGTCTGATGGTAATGCTGCATAATTTACGAATAACACCTTTAAATATTTAAGTTTTACCGTGCTAACTCAGTTAGACTTTGGTAGATTATCGATGGTTGAGAATTAGTGAAAGTCCACCAGGTTAATTTCTTTTTATCGTCAAATTTTTAAATTAAATATAAAGCAATTAGTCCCTTTTATAAATTTCGATAATGTAATAAGAAGACGGAGATTATCAGAACTATGTGATATATTAGCGCAATACATTTCGAACAATCTGATCACACATATACTTGTTAAGAGCATTTATATATAAAAATAAAGGTCAACTAGACTGGAAATGAGGTAAGAGGAGATAATAATAATAATAATAATAATAATAATAATAATAATAATAATAATAATAATAATAATAATAATAATCTGAACACTATTCAAAACCTAATAACTCTGGATAAAAAGTCAATATTACCAGGGTAGGTTTAAGGTAAGAACAAACTGTTTTTGAATAAACAAAGGGGGTTTGAATTTTCGTATGGCTAAGGCTTCAATAAACCTTAGTATACGCCCTTGTACACTTTTATATAATACCACAAAAGCCGAGTTTAGATCAATCTTGTGCCCTGTTTCAATTATATGTTTAGCAATAGAGGATGATGGATGTTTATCCTCTGCTCTTATTGGGTCACTTGATTGTATTTGTTTTTGCAGCCATTTGGGTACATGTTCACTCACCTTAATGTTAAGATTACGATTGCTCCTCCCTATGTATGTGTGACCACACACACATTTAAATTGGTAAACACAGTGGGATGTGACACAATCGTTTTCCTGTCTTTTAGGTTTTCGATGAAACATGCACCTTGTTCTTTCTTTGACAATGACCTTTGCTGCGCAGTACGTTTTGCTGATGACTGATTTAAGTCTTTGTTTCAATAACAGACTATTTGAATCACCTTTGAATGGTAAGGTGATGTAGACAGGCTTTTTCTCCACCGAGGCTACAATAGGTCTCACTGTACCATGGACTTTCCATCTATTTATGAATTTCAAGGGGTAACCATTTTCTATTAATGTTTTGTTTAACAACTTAACATCATCATCAATGGCGTCATTTGTACAAATGCGAATATTATTATTATTATTATTATTATTATCTCCTCTTACCTCATTTCCAGTCTAGTTGACCTTTATTTTTATATATAAATGCTCTTAACAAGTATATGTGTGATCAGATTGTTCGAAATGTATTGCGCTAATATATCACATAGTTCTGATAATCTCCGTCTTCTTATTACATTATCGCAATTAAATATAACCAAATATAATCTTATCTTAATATGCATCCATTTGGGGATTATTAAACTAACGAATGTTCAATAAATAAATAAATAAATAATATGTTTGTAATATCCCGATGAGTAGAAAATTAGATTTTTTGACGTTTCGTGACTTAGTGTATGTCACTTCTTCAGAGAATAAATAACCAAATCAAAATTAATCCAAGTTAAATACTAAGACGGAACAATCCACACAGCCATTACTTACATCCATCAGAGCTGTTCTCAAAATGTCATCAATGGCAAAGTTGAAGAGGAATGGTGAGATTGGGCAATCCTGACTAACACCACTGCTTGAATGGAACAATGGAGAGAGGTGGTTGTATGCCCTCATTCTGTTTGAGGTGTTTGTATATAGGGCTTTTAGTGTCTGAGTAAGCTTCTCAGGCACACCCTTCTTCAATAGACAATTCTAGAGAACAGTCCTATCCAACGAATCGAAGGCAGCCCTGATGTTAAGAAACCCTACGATTGTTGGCCTTTGACAGGTATGACGGTGTTCTAACATTTGGCGGAGCCTTTGACCTAAAGGTCTAATCCACCATGCAGCGGGACAACGTTAAGAGATGCAGTTCCATGGTAGTTGCTGACCAATAATAGGTTCATACGCCTTTTGTTCCCTCAGGTATACCTTATAATGGACAGGACTAGAATTTCTGATGTATCCTACAAAATATTTTCTTAAACTTTGCTCGTAAAACCCTATATGATCTTTGTATTCCAGGACGGAAGCGTTAAACTATGGAGTTTAGATAATGAAGAACCTTTGGCCGACATTGAAGGTCACGCACCTCATCGAGTATCCCGCTTAGCTTTCCATCCTTCTGGACGTTTCCTAGCAACTACGTGCTTCGATCACTCGTGGCGCTTATGGGATTTAGAGGCATGTGAAGAAATTTTACATCAGGAAGGTCATTCCAAGCCGGTTTATGATGTAGTTTTCCACCCTGATGGCTCCTTAGCTCTAACCACTGGTTTAGATGGATATGCTCGTGTTTGGGACTTACGAACAGGCCGTTGCATTATGTTTTTAGAAGGTCACCTTGAAGAGTTGCTGGGCGCAGATGTAGCTGATAATGGTTACCATGCAGCCACTTCTAGTGCAGATAACACTGTTCGTATTTGGGATTTACGACAACAACAAGCAATTTATGTAATACCAGCTCACACAAGTGTTGTAAGCAGTGTGCGATTCGAATGTAAGTTGATTATTTCAGGGGGATTTCTAGCAGTATTGTTATCCAACTTCCAGGTAATTGTAGGATGAACATTTTGTAGATATGAATTTATTTAACCAAATTAATTTCTCTATCACATTACCACTACTAGGTTGCGTATTTATAGTTTGAAAAAGCTATTCACCCACTTTTTCTAACCACTGCTAAATATATGTGAAATTATTTTTGGATGAAACCGGAAATATTTGTTTTTGATTAAATCGTTACGAATGCAGTTCACTAACTCATAGGTTTATGCACTAGGATGAACTCGACCTGCTACCCCAGGATTGTCGATACTACTCAGTTCCATTACGGTTTTAACTTGTTGAGTCGTGATTTCTGAAACAAGTTGTGATTGCAAAATGAAAGCTGAATATAATCCTTTCTTCTTTTGTTCTATTCACAGCACGCAACTGCAACTATATTGTTACCAGTTCGTTCGATAAAACAACTAAAATTTGGGGTCATCCTATCTGGACACCTATCAAAACCCTCGAAGGACATAACAGTAAAGTTGTTTATGCAGATATTTCACCAGACAATAAATACATTGCAACCTGTTCCCACGACCTAACTTATAAACTGTGGAGTAGAGAAGCAAACTAATCCTCATCGTTGCAACAAATGTTAATAATATTTTTATAATACATTGTAAAATAATTCAAATATACACTCATGGTTCTGACTTCTAAATTTGACTATTTAGCCACTTAGTATGACCTTTAGGTTTGGGGCAAAATACGCATGGATTCTTCAAACCACAACGTACAATGTCAGCTGGCATAAAAGTAGAGTACTAAACTGGGATCAACAAACTGAGACGTGGCACTAACCCGTGAAACCACCGATCGTTGGTCTGCGCCATGTCAGTAGGCCTACACAATCGCAATGATTAGTCGGCCAGTGAAATTAAGAGTCAAATCGACCAGTGACATCTTGGCCTTCATTCTCAGTTCTTCTCTTAAGCCTTCAGTTGGTTAACAATTTCTGTCCATCAATTGTCGTCGTTCTTTCTAACTATACTTTTGACGGTTTCATTGCTTTCAGTACTCTCCTTTGTATGACTTCCTTATACTCGGCTAACAAAAGGTTTAAGGACTTGAAAACCAGTTGCACACTCATGTCAAGTTGTACGTTGCTGCTAACTTCAAATACTGAGTCGGGAGTCACCTAACTACATTTCCCACAGATTTTCAACTTTTATCTAATTTTCTTTCTTAGTCTTCGTTTCGGGACAAAACCAACTTTCCTAACTGATCGAATACCTGCAATTTACCTAAATATGTCATAAGATAACTCAAATCAGCACAAGATTATTTGCAAATTGTGTCCGAGGTTTAAATGAATATGAGTACTAAATGATCTGCATTCAAATTTCAAGAAAAGAATATTTTATCTAGATGTTATCGGTATCTCTCTATTAATGCTCAAAGTATTTTTAAGCGATTTTAACATAAAATGAGTAACCCTTAGAGTTTTCAGTTAAAGAAAGTACTCATTCTGAAATAGATAACTTCTCTTAAACTATACAAATAATACTGCATATTGACAGATAATTCAAAATCACTGATTAAAGTATTTAACTAAAGAGTTGCATCTAAAGAATCCATTAGATGGATTTTTATAATGTGGAAAAAGGATACAAACCAGTATAACAGATGAATACCAAATATATCAACAAAATGCACTTCCAAAAATAACCGGAAGAACAGTAAATCAAGTGAAAATGAAAAGTACACAAATAACATCTACATGCAATACTGTTGAATGTACAACACATTATGGTTAGTACGGTAAAAAACAAACTTTCCTTGCATGTTTTGAAAATAACCACACCGAATTCAGAAATTGCACTAATTTTAAGATGTGGAAGAATTTTCGTTTAAGCAAGGAGTAAAAGTTAGGAGAAGCCTCCAAACATATTGTTAATACTGCACAGGAGTTTGGTTCATGTAAATTGAAAAACTTAGTTAAAATACAAATGCGGGTGCTACAAATTATTTTGCATGATAAACAAGTATAAGACGAAAACAACATGATAATTTAGGCCGTGAACCTGATGCAGAAAAATCTATAAGAAAATTAACTCTCTTTCAATAGGCGCAGTGATTGGAATAAACAAAGTAACGTACGTGTTGTAACAGAAAAATTATATGAAAAAATGGAAGCGAAACTAATATTGCAGAATGAGGTGAATCAGGTCATGGGTTGAAATATTCGCGTTGAGCGAATGAGACTAGAATGGGTAACCCTGAAATTAACAAGTTATTCAAATTCACTTATATATATATATATGACATGTTCAAAAAAGGGAACGAGAAGACAGGTTTTTAGAACATAGTGGCCGGCACTTCTTGTAATATCATAGATTCAGAAGTGGCATTGTCTGTATTGGAGATGGATGTTTTTTTGAAATCTAGTGTTGAACTAGCTACACTAGTGTCCAGACTCACACACTCCGATTTCTGTCTGAGATTTTGGATTTGACTGATTCCCAGCAGTAATCGTGCTGCATCAACAGCCGTCTGTTTACTAACACAAAGAAATAAAAAAAAGTAAAATTTCACTCGATATCGCAAGGTATGAAGGCAACTTTAGTGTCAAGCAACTAAAATTGGTGACCACATTACAACTTTCAGCATCAAAGACGAACATATAACATTGCTTACTATTAACCAACTAATTAGTAAAAAGCATATTACATTGTTAACAGTGAGTTTCCCAATAACACACCTGTAGATAGAGCATATGTCCAAAAAAGAGAAAAACTCACAAGTTTAGCAGTGCGACATGAGAACAAGACTTGTATATTTCAGTGAGATCATGAACCGATGTAGGCTTTGTCACCTTCGGAAAACTGGATGGGCGTTTCGCCCTAGTACGCGACTAAAACGGCGGTGCGCACCCACAACTTCGCACACGAGAGTCGAACCCAGCACTTGGTCTCGCGCGTGAACTACTAGACTAATGAACTAGCATTCAACTTCGAGGTTGTGCAGATGATCTTCCTCAGAAGGACAGTGAATGCTCTATGACCAAACGACCCAGCTCCACCTGAGGTACAAATCTTCCCCACGACCTTTAGGTTTTACTGATGCGACCGTTTAGGAAGGGGATTTAATCCAAAACGCAATAACTAGCCAGTGTGTGTTTACTATTGGTTGCAGTAGATCAAGATACTAATCATCAGATTACACCAAACAGTAGTAGTAGCAATATAGGTAGGAAACCAAGTACGACTATTAGTTGTTAATCTGGCTGCTTTTGCAAAACGGGGAACCGACAAGATACAACATTCGTTTATCTGGTGACGCAAGGGTAAGTTCTTTTGTTTTGGTAGGTGTAGGCATAGCACTAAGTATAAGGGTAAAACGAGCCTTATTATAATTGATCTCTATTTACAGTCGACTATGTGGTGATCGGCTGAACAGTTCCATAGGAACTCGAAAGGATAGTGACACACGTCGTTGTCCTTTCTGCCTACCACCCCCACCGACTGCAACTTAGATGAGGTAAAAGATGAATTTCACAGAAAGCTTTCTGAACTTCTTCAAAAAGCTAAGCACTCAGAAATAGTGCCCGTAGCCGGTGGCTTTAATGCCCAAAGGCATTTAGGTGGGTATTTTAGTATTCCGGTTCAGTGAACAGATAATGGTGATCGTTTGCTGCAACTGTACTCAGACAATCGCTTATTTTTAGCAAGCACTGATTTAAACGTAAGGAGAGACATCATCTAAAATGGCGAACCCTTGCACCAAACTAACGACAGACTCAAACAGACAATATTGCCATCAGTCATCGTTGGATAGGCTCGATAGATTATCGCTAGTTCTGGAATACATGTTTGGACTCTGACCATGCTTTAATATGAGAACGTATTTGCTTGAACCTCATTAGACGTAGAAAAGCCATATTTAAAATACCCATTCGAGTTGAACTCAGCGACGAGAAAGCTAAAGGTGAATTCCAGGAATGACTGAAGTCACAGTAAGGTGATTACGAAACCGAGATGTCTTTGGGAAGATATGCGAACAGTTGTTGAAACAGCACCGACATTTAATTGTGATTTGAAATAAAGGGCCACGAAAATTTAGTCGATTTCTGCGTCATCTATTGTACTGATAACTTCTCGTAAACTTTTACCGACGTACTAGTAACACGATGACGAGCGAAAACATATCACATCTAGGTTAACCAGAAGTCTACGGGAAGATCGTGAGTAGCAGTGGGCGACAAAAACAAACAAGATGGAAAAGGCAGTGGCTATAGGTCAGTCAGCTGCAACGTAGGACTAGGCACATATATGCATCGGTCCAAGTGGCCACACCGCATTAACACAACAAAATTAACGCCGAATTCATAGAAGTAGTTAATTTGGTGGTAGTAATATATAGAATTAAGATTGCATATAAGGATATAGTACAGGAATAAAGAATTAGTTCGTAGAAACAAAGATATGAAGCGATTTTAATCTCTTAGTTTGAAGGAAGACAGAGAGTGTATACACCGACGCCATTGTGATCGATTCTGAACCACGTCACCCACAGTCTCCAACCATTGGTTGCCATAGTCACGCGGACCCCAACCAGGCAGTCTGCATCTACCAACATGACTCAGACTAGAAGTTAGTGACTTCAAGCACTGATGCCACGTTTTGGTTTGGTCGCCCTAACTTTCTTCCAATTATCCCTAACACCGGTTAGTAATCGGTGTTCAGGCATACGCAACACATGGCCCAACCATCTCAGTCGGTGAAGATTCACAACCTCATCATTTACTGATTTACCATCATTCCCTAATACCCTGCGTCTAACCTCACTATTACTTACCCGGTGATCCCAGCAATATTTTTAAGGTATCTGTGTTCAAACACTAGTAACTTACGAGTATTTTCCACTCCTAAAGGCCATGTTTCGCAGCTGTATAGTAAAACGGAACGAACTGCCGGGCAGTATACTCGTCCCTTAATTGATAGACGGATATCTCGCCTTCGCCATAGATGACGTAGGTTGGCAAAGGCCAAACGAGCTTTTCGAATCCGTGCTGAGATTTCGTCAGACACCAACCCATTAGGGCTGATCAGACTTCTAAGATACGTGAAGTTGTCAACGCGTTCGACTACTTTACCAGCGTCTTCATTAAACAGGACTATGTCATCTGCGTATTCTAAGTCGATAAGTGAACCTCCTTGTAGGAGATCGATGCCCTAGAATTCAGCCGATGAGAGCGTTGTTTCCATCAGTAGATCTATGATGAAGTTAAACAAAAATGGCGAAAGTGGACAGCCTTGACGGACACCACTTGAGGTTGCAAAAGCTTAGATTTGAAAGCCGATGTAGGAGGAATAATAGGAATTGAAGAGGTAGGTTGATTATGAATACAGTGGTGTTGAGTGCTGTTAGAGGTATGAGGGCGGTTATCAATTCTCGGTTGTTCTTACCGTGGAAGGGTTCTTCTGGAGGTGGTCTTAGTGACCTGAGAGCGTGACCGCAGTGCCCAAGGGACAGTTGCTTGAAGTCGGTCAAGCACGACCTTTTTATGAGTAGTTTTTGTGTTAGCTCGTACTTGTCAAGACCTTATCACCGGAGACGGATATCCGTGGGATAAGGCGAGGTGTGCATTTTTAGGGTCGACCTTTTCTAACCCCACCCCTCCTTGTGGGAAGGCAGCATCGCTGTTATGCTGGTTGTCTGAAGGAAACACATTACTGCTGTCACACCTCTGTACAGTCAGCAGTACGACTTCGCCTTCGGACCTTGGGTTTGTCGCTTTTAGTCTTACCGCTCTTCAACCTACCTGTCTGGAATGGTAGAACCTTGAGAAACGGTGTTCCAGCCAGTATAGCTCAGTTGCTTCATCACGATAGGCAAGCCCGACCACCACGTTAAGGTAGCAGCAACGGTCGGGCTGTAGGTAACACTAAACAGACTAATAAAAGAAACCAGAATTAAGAAATCAAGTGTACGTGAGTTTCGGCAAAAGACATCACTCTTATCCGCTCTTGGTTTAGACGTTTATAGCGATGGTCGGAACACTAGGGAGAAGTTTATTTGGCCTTTAGCTACTGTATAGCTGCCCACCATTTCCAAATAGCCTGAATAGGACATTGAAATGCCCACCCACCAACTCTAGTTGAAGTTCAAACAGTTAATCTGAAACGAGGAAAAGTAGCAGATGGATTTACTCCAGATGTCTCTAAGGATCGTGGTCCCGTTTTAGCGATTAGATTGACTAACATTTTAGCTGAGGGGTTGGACGTAATTCCATGTGAGTGGCCACAATCTTTGATTGTGCCAGTATATGAGGGGTCAAAATCATCCTGTGATAATCATAGAGTGATTAGTTTGACTAATATAGCATCTAAAATACTAGCCTCAATAATTATCGGGCGCCTAACAAAGATTTGTGAACTGCAAACACGAGAGAATCAAGCTGGCTTCAGACCTGGTCGTGGTTGCACAAGCTTGTTTATTGGCGTCCGTCAATGGGGGTGATTTTGCAACCTCAAGTGGTGTCTGTCAAGACTGTCCACTATCGCTATTTTTGTTTAACTTCATCATAGATCTACTGATGGAAATAAGGTTCTCGTCGTCTGAATTTTCGGAAATTGACCTACCAGGAAGTCCACTTATCGACTTAGAATACGCAGATGACATTGTCCTGTTTGGTGAAGACGCTGATAAAATGCAAACTATTGCTTTAGAACTAGTCTGCATCAACACCTAAACTAAGGATAGGAAGTAAAGTAGTCGATCGCGCCGACAACTTCACTTATCTTGGAAGTCTGATCAGCTTAATGGATTGGTGTCTGATGTTATCTCTGCACGAATTCAAGAAATCTATGGCGAAGGCGAGATATCCGTCTGTCAATTAAGGGACGAGCATACTGCGCGGCAGTTCGTTCTATTCTAATTTACGGCTGCGAAACGTGACCATCAAGATACTCGTGAGCTACTAGTATTCGACCATAGATGTCTTACAAACATTGCTGGCATCTGCTGGGATCACCGGGTAAGTAATTATTATTATTATTTGAACACATAAATATTGGTACAAGGGGGCACCAAATATATATACGCCACACAAAACAATGAGAATATAAAGAGAAGGGAAAGAAAAAAAGAGAGGGTAAGGAGCGCAAAAAAGAACAATAACGAACAGATTAGTGTAAGATAGTGTAATAGTAGTAATAATGGGGGAAACGAAAAGGTACAATCAGAAGAAATCTTTCAGTTAAGGAAGAAGCAATCGCTTTTTACGAAGAAAGTAAAAGGTTACAGCAGAATCGCCACTGCCTTCTATTCTGAGTCATATCTGATAACGTTTCTAGCCACTGTGTTACACCATCCCTCGGACCCCAGCCAGGGAGTCGTGAAGGACCAACACAAGTAATAGTGACGTTAGATGCAAGGTATTAGGGAATGGTGGTAAATCGGTTGATGAGGTTTTAAATCTTTATCGACTGATATGTTCGGGTCACGTGTTACGTATGCCTGGACACCGATTACCACGACGCGCAACGGTGACTGGTGTTGATGATGGTTGGAAGGAAGTTAGGGGCGGCCAAACCAAAACGTGGCATCAGCGCTTGAAGTCACTAACTTATGGTCTGAGCCATGTTAGTAGATGCAGACTACTTGGTTGGGACCCGCATGACTCTCGTAACCAATGGTTGGAGACTGTGGGTGACATGGCTCAGAATCGATCACAATAGCCTAGGTGTATACACACCCTATCTTCCCTTAAACCATGAGATCAAAAGCGCTTGATATCTTTGTTTCTACGAACTAACTCTTTCTCATTGTATAATGTCATTATATGAAATCTTCCTAACTACTATGAATTCGGCGTTAATTTTGTTGTGTTAATGCGGTGTGGCCACTTGGACCGATGCATATATGTGTCTGTTCCTATGTTGTGGTTGACTGATTAGTTGCCATTTTTGTGATGTTAGAAACTAATTATTTGAGATTCTATACAATATAACTGACTTGAAACAGATATATACGCTTTTTAAAACCTAGGGATTTAGAATATTAAACACGAATTATAACAGAATCACTAATAATACTTATGACATAAACTAACTTGCGTTTTAAAACAGGCTCCTCTATTGTCTCTTTATACGTTTGAATTTTATTACTTAATCCCCTTTGAATCACACGTTCATCATCAGGACTTCTCCCTAACTTTACGCCATTAATTGAGGGCTCATCTATTTCCCGCCCAACTGACCACTTCATAGAAGTCCAACCACCAACGACATCAAGATGTGTCTCCTGCTTTTTTGTTTGAGATCGTTTGTTAAGTTGATGCGATGAGCTTAAGGTCATCCTGTTTTTGCTTACTTGTAATGTGGAAGCAGCACATAAATAACTTTCTTCCTGGTCAGAACTAAAATCATAGTCCTCCAAATTAGGAGACGAACGATCAATGATGTTATCTAAGTGTGGTTGTGTACTGGAAATAGGTTGATGAGCGCGTTTTAATGATCGGTAATGATTATGATAGCGATATCGACTATTCTCAATATCCATAGATTTTTCAGCACTTTCTGAATCAATATCTGACTGACTATTTGGTGAATGGCGACTGTAACGTTCCATCATATTAGATCGAGCACTGGAACTGAAATTTCCTTCCCTTTCATCAAAAATCAATATTTTTGATTCATCATCTAATTCATAATTATAGTATTGAGACTTTTCAAAGTCATCATATGGACGGCGAGGAGCCTTTATAACTCGTTTGGACCTTCGAGTGGGACAACTATTTAATGAAGATAATTTCATTGATCTTGTTCCCTTACGCTGCTTAACACCACGAGATCGAATTCTAAATGGACGTGTCTTACGAGCTTCGAAGTACGGTGAAACCAGATGCTGGCGACGAGAGCTCCGTTTGCAAAAGGTATATTCGCAATCACAAAGATCCTGACTACCCGAGTCCTTTAATTCATGGTTTTCCCCATCAAAATCTTCTTCACTGTATATATCATTTCCTGATGAACTGAAGCCGTCATCAAATTCATCTGTTTCATAATTAGCATCTGTTTCTAGAACTATGGAATCCACAAAAGCTTTGAGAAGCGGATAGAGGTTCATTAATTCTGACAGTCTACCTGTATAGTAGTTGTCGTTAAATTTATTTACAAGCTGATTTTCTTCAGGTCGGCGCAGTTGGGCTTGGCAATGAGAATATTCATGGTCAATGTAGGGGGGTGGTGTGACGTAAACTTCATCCGACGAATAAATTAATGTTTCAGGGTTGACTGGTTTTTTGTCACATGAATCTATATCACTTTCATTTTCCTCGGCAATTGGTGAAGTTGACTTAGAAATCCTAGTAGCCATTGTCTTAACAAGTGGTCCACCAGCGGGCCCTGGTTCCTGATCACAGTCCAGCATGTTACCAATATCAAGATCATATTCTTTGAGTGCCGAACGAACGTAATTGTTATTAAGGACCTCATAACGCTTAGCCATGCAGGATTCACAACCAGATGTATTTTCCTTACACTCATTACACTTGCCTATGGAAGACAAATATAACATATTGATTATTAGGTCAAAGATACACAAGCAATTGATTTCACAAATGAAGTCCTTTTTATATGAAGATCTACATAAAATCCAAAAGAGAACTTAGAACTTTGAAGACTTTATTATTCATTGATCAAACTGTGAGAATAAATATTAAACTAAGATTCTACTCAAGTTCCATTGCAGTAATGTTAGCACTTCATCAAGTAGAGGACGGTTAAAGTACATGAAAGAACCTGATAGATCAACTAAATGTTAACTGCAATTAACCTTTACCTCACATTTAAAAGCCCTGATCTACGTTCTGTTTGAATAAAACACACGGTGTTCCTTTCTGGTTATTTTTACAGTTAAGAATAACCTAATTAAGTTGGACAAGTTAAGAAAATTATATTATAGGTGAGAAGTATTAGTAATCTCTTACTCGCAGCAACATGAATATACATCTAAAAAAATGTTGAGAAGTACTAAGTAATAGATTTCAAACTCCAGGGCAATTCACGATTATTCTTCCTAACCAAAAGTCTAATTCATGAAACACAGCAAAATAAGTTGTGTTGCGACTATTGTGTAGCACTGAATTTATTATCATTAAAAGTAGCATGAAGTTATAAATGAATGAATTTGAATTGCGCACAGAAGCTTTTGCAACCTGCATTCACATATAAAAACTTACTTATACGGGTTGGTAACAAGCGTGATTTTCTTTTTTGTTTAGTGACCAGTTTCGCATCATCAAAAATATGAGTACCAATAAAGCCTATAGGGAAGAAATACGCTTAATTTAAATACACTTCGTTATTGAAGATAACAGGCAAAAACTACTAACTACAATAGACAACTGTTTAAAATTATCAAGGAGACGGCCGTTAGTGTTACTATCACAGAGAAAGAGTAAAGACCTGACCTATTCTTTGGCTACTTTTCAATTGGTTCAGAGTACTGACCTGTTTCACGAAGGGACTAACAAAATACATCCCTATGTGCATCTTCAGTGATAATATCACAATGTTTTTATGAGGTTTTATTCTAACATAAAATGTTGTTTGTGTAGTTGTATCTGGATCATATGAAGAGAAGTAATTTGATAAGCTGACGTTCTCACTCACTGCTAAATTCTTGTGAATGATGAAAACCCAAAACAGACCGATTGGATATAAAAGAGGGTGGACATAATCCGCACCAGCACGGTCTGTATTACTTTACGTGTGAAACTCGGCCGTAGCTGCTACCTTGACGTGGTGGTTGAGCTTGAGTATCGTGATGACCCAACCGAGCTATATTGGCAGGAACATATGTACCTGCAGGTTCTACCATGCCAGGCAGGTCGATTGGAGAACGATAAGACTAAAATCAGCAAACCTAAGGTCCGAGGGCGAAGTCGTACTGCTGACTGTAGAAGGGTGTGACAGCAGTAAGTTGTTTCCCTCGGACAACGAGTACCTGCAGCGATGCTGCCTTCTCACAAGGAAGGAAGAGGTTAGAAAAGGTTGACCCTAACAATTTCACACCTCACCTTACCCCACTGAATTCCGTCTCTGGCGGTAAGGCCCTTTGAAGAACGGAGCTAATACATTAAAAACCTCTCACAAAAAGGCCGTGCGTGACCGGCCTCAAGCAGTTGTCCCTTGGGCTCTGCGGTCACGCTCCCAGGTCTTCAAGATCAACACTAATCCGATTTCTTTTCAGGTTCCTCAAGAAATACCCTTCCACGGTGTGGGCAGCCGGGAAGTGACATCAGCCCTAACACCCGTAACAGTACAGAAGATCAAGTTGACCACAATCGAATTCTTCCTACACCTCCTAATAACTCTCTTATCTCCACGACTAACCCTTCTCACGTCCCTTTATCACCTCGCGCCACTAATGCAAACGATTCGAGTACGCGGAACGTTATTCCCGATCTTCTGGAACCACGCTCTCAACTACATGTACAAGCTTTTAACGTCCGAACATTGTGCCAAATACGAAAACAGGCTTCCTTAGCTAGGACTTTAGAATCTCGCTCCATCGATGTGTGCTGCGTCTCCAAAACGCGCACACGGGATCCGAGTACCGTCATTCATTTGACGTCACCATATCAATTCACGCTTCGTTTATCTGGAAGCCCTGATGCTGCTTCCCGTGGCTTTGCTGGCGTAGGTATGGCATTGAGTCCTAGGGCAGAATTAGCTCTTTTAAACTGGATACCAGTAGACAGTCGTTTGTGCGCTGTTCGACTAAACGGAATAGTAAGGACTCGGAAAGATAAGGACACTCGCCATTGCCTCTTCGTCATCTCGGCCTACTCTCCCACTGACTGCAGCTCAGATGAGCTTTACAGAAAGCTTTCTGACCTCCTCAAAAAAGTTAGGCGCTCTGATGTAGTAATAGTGACTTCAATGCTCAAGTAGTTAAACTAAGCGAAAAGGAAAGACACCTGGATGAATCTTATGGTGTCGCGTCTCAAAAAACAGATAATGGCGACCGTCTGTTGCAGCTATGCTTAGATAACTGCCCGTTCCTAGCAAACACTAACTTTGAACACAAAGAACAACATCTTTTGACATGGCGACTCCTGACTTCATCCCAACGTTGAACCTAAATGAATCACATCACTGTCAGCCGCCGATGGAGGTGCTCGATAGAAGACTGTCGCTTGTTCTGGGGCACATGCTTAGATTCAGATAATGCTCTAGTGCAAGCGCGTATTTGGCAGCGGCAACAGGTAACAGCAGACAACTGTTCAGACTTGTCAGGAACAACTAGAAAAAGAGTTAGGCAACCATGTAAGTGATGCCCACCCAGAGGCAGCGTGGAATAATATCCAAAAAGCTGTGGAAGCAGCAGTGATATCCGCTAGTAAGGTAAACCATAAGGTTAGGGAGAAACACTGGATCTCAGCAGCATCTACCACACTGACAGATGCTCGAAAACTCATCCCACCTGGCTATGAACATGACGAAGAGCGGAGTCAGCTTATGCGCAGGCTGATAAGAAGCCTACACAACTTTTGCCAACTTGCGTTATTAATGGAATAGGCGAGATATCCATTTACCAAACAAAGGACGGGTTTACTGTGCAGCAGTTCGTTCCGTCCTACCTTATGACGGTGAAACATGGCCAGTAAGAGTAGAGGATATTCGCAGGTTACTAGTATTTGATCACAGGCGTCTTTTGAAGCATTGCTCGTGTATCCTTGGACCATCGAGTAAGTAATTCAGTTGTTAGGAAACGGGTACTAGGTAAGGATGGCAAATCAATTGATGAGGTAGTGAAACTTAATCAATTGAGATGGCTGGGACATGTGTTACGCATGCCCGACCATCGACTGCCCCGAAGTGCGATGTTTTATGGTGTAGGAGTGCGTTGGAAGAAAGCTAGGGGCGGCCAGACCAAAACATGGCACAAATCCATGAAGTCATTGACTAGTGGACTGAGCCATGTTGGTGGGTGTGGACTATCTGGTTGGGATCCACGAGACGATAGCAACCGATGGTTAGAGACCTTGGATGACATAGCTCGAAATCGTTCGCAATAGCGCAGGTGCATCCCCTCTTTGTGTTCTCCCAAATTCTAATCTACTGAATCCATGTCCTTTTTTCCTCTTTCAAAATTTATTTCACTGGATTATACTCCTTGTCTTACATCTTCAAACCCTGATCTTTCCGATTAATGCTTATATTTTTACCACCTCCACCACTACGGGATTTGAATCGACAATTGTATCTCGATGCTAATGTGATATGGCAACTCGAACTGATGTACGTACATACGAAGTTTTGAGTTGTTGATGACTGACTGAAGAGTGTGAAATAAACAGGTTCCAAATAACAGACATTGAACGACTCAATCAGGATCACAGTAAACAACATGTGAATGGTGATCACTTTGGATCAACCGAAATGAATGAGCTGTGCTAAGGGCTAGTCCATTATTTTAAGTTACCATGCTGCTAGCTTGGGGAAGTGACGAGAGAGATAAGAATGATCAGACATCGTTCAAGTTGGTAGTTTGTGTTGTTTTTACAGTTGTATTGCACGATACGTCAAATTTAAAGACATTACACGAAGACATGAAACTACATGGGTGAAGTGTAGCTAAGAATACACAAATATTAGCCAATCCTCCAGCCTTACCCTATATTTAAAACCCTTTCACAATTATATAGTGACATGAAGAAAAAACCGGGTATTAAATAAGATATCAAACTATATAAGGCTGAAAGAGACTTACTTTCCAAAGCTTCGGACTCCGTTTTACTATACATAAAAAAGATTGTGGATAAGAATGCTCATTAAAATGACAAAACAAGAAAAACACAGTAATTGTAAAATTACAAGCCTCATTTGTAGGACGAAACTAGCTGAAAAACGGTGCTTTTGCAAAACCTAGCTAAATATGGTCGACTTTCCTTGACAGTGATTTAAAATCTAGTAAGGTTCATTCTCAATAGACTTATCAATGACATCTAATTAACTTGATATTTTATGAGATGTTCAGTCGGACAAATTACCATAGTATGTTATAAACCAATGATTTGAATAGCAAAATGACTATTTTGCTAATTTCACAAAGAAATCATCGGGAATATTAGTTACTCTGATTCCGACTTACGGATGTAGTCGACGTACTTAAAAATAAAGGTTCGTAATGTAACTATTTTTTATACATACTTGTGATCATAACGTAAGGACGAGGTTTATCAAGATGTTCAAACCCCCCCCCCAACATTGTTTAATGAGTGATTTACACTCTACCCAAAACCCGTCGTGGCACGAAAATCAATACATCAAGAACTTTGGCATTCCTACCAATCTCTGAAAAACGTGATTATAAACGTGTTAGATTGTATTCAGGAAATATGGACTGAAGTTAAGTAATGAAGGTTTCTTGTAAGGTTGAGATCTAACCTATTAGGCTTCGACGTCCAAAAGTTAACAGAAATTTTCCGTAAAGGCATAATGGAAACAAGCAGTTAAGTCTCCTTAAATATTAGGCTGGTGAATACAACCTGACACATCTAAAAACATCAAAAAACAAGTGACATGCCAGGAAAAACAGTTAAAACTGACAGTTATGCAGCTCACATGGATATTAATAATAAGTTAATCAACAACCAACCTTACAGCTGGTCAAGATCCTGTTTTAAGATCGTTGATAAAGCGATCTTGTCCCTTAGACCAGCGCTAGCTGAAGCTAAAACCTCACTAAAAAAAACTCAAGTAAATGGTGGACAAACCAGAACTTCCAAGCCATATACAAGATAAAATTTAAGGGAAGTTACCTTACTGAACTCTCATCTGGGGGTTCTGTTATACTTGACTGTGATTTAGTAACTGTTTCCTCTCCTTCGTTTAATAAGCGTAAGGTATCCAAATACTTCTCCTCTTCTTCGGCTGGCCATTCAACTTCAGCCGTCGCACCATCAGTGCTGGCAGTGTCTCCAGATGGTGAAGTCCAATATCTGTGATCGGACAAAGAAACATCAGAAGACATGGTTGCAGCATTCTCCTTACTGGCAGTCATATCATACTCAAATTTTGAGGGATCAACAAATGAAGCATCATAAGTTGCTAAGACTTGACCATCGCTAGTATACAGTAAACGGATGTGTGGGGTTGACTCAAGTTTATCTTTCCCCAATCCCTCGGCTCTTAAAAGGTGACCAGGAGCGCTATGCGCAAGACCAAAACGTCTAACTGGATATGCAGATGCAGAACTAACGTTGTTAGAACCATCAGATAAGTGACATCCCAACGCAGTCACACTGGCGAAGTTCCACGGATTTCTTTTAATAGCGTCTAGCAGGGATGCGCGTTCACGAGGTTCAACTGTCCAGAAAGCACCTCGACCGGGGCCCTATTTGGAGATAGAAAGAGACGGTAAAAGAGATGAGATGTAAGCAATAGAAGTGGTTAATTGTCTACACAACAAGCATTTACATAAATTTTGACAATTAGTACGATACGACACGAGTAACACGGGTGCGTCAAGAAATATTGGTGACATAAAATGTGCATTTGTTGTGCGTATGACAATCTCTATCACCTCATCATCATCAAGATCCTCATGCTCCTGTTTCTGAGAGCACAGCATATCGAGGCTACGACAGTTCAAAATGACATTAGGTTCATTCTGTGTAAGGGAAGAAAACAAGCTTATGGGTAAATCTCGTATAGTCCTAAAACTAAACAAGATAAAAGAATTTAAACTTACACGACTATCACGAGGTAGGCGCTTGAAAGACTTATTGATCGAAAGATTATGTCTAAGAGAATTTTTCCATCCAACACCAGCATGTTTATAGAATGGGAAATTCGATTCACACCAGTTGTAAATTTGATTGACAGTCATACACTTTTGTGGAGTAGACTCGATTGCCATAAATATAAGGTGCGTATAGCTGTAATTTGGTTTTGTAAGACCATGGGTGCCAAGAGCAACAGTAGGGTTTGTTGAGAAACGCGATTGTTCACTATGAGAGATCTGATCTCCAGAAACAGAAGCAGGACGTTGGACACATCTGTCTAGAATTGAAAACTGTGATACAGGCACTAGTGAAGGTGAACGGTCGACAACAGGCTCCAACGAATCCATGTGCAAGATAGGATTGGTCTCGAAATTATCGTCATCCTCCGGTTGTCCAGCGATCGCCGAACTAACAGAATCACTTCCATCTTCTTCTCCATCTAACGGGGCTATTTGCAGAATATCTCTCTTCTGAAGCCATGCCAAGGAAACCAAATCATTTGGGGTTGAAACTAAATCACTGGAGTGTTTTACAGACCATGTGTCCAGTAAAACGCCACTCTTATCAGAATCCGAATTGTTTATGACAGTCATATCAACATCTAATGGAGATGATTTACTGATATCAGAATAAGAGTATAGAGCATGTGAATGCACTTTATCCATACAATAATTAAGAGCTGAAAGAGAAAGTGACCGAAATATTCGCAAATGAATCTACTGACAAGGTCTGTGCACGCTTCAGCAAAAAAAAGCATCAAGACACATCATCAAATATTTTATTAACATACCAAAGTGAAAATAACTACCAACCGAGATTTACACCATTATTAGACTTGAAAGACACGAAAGCGTCATTAACAACGACTGCGCCAAACGACTTCCGGTGAAGGAGTATAGAAAAAGCAATTGAAACTTTGATCGAGTGTAGCCCATACACTTAATAAAATCTATACAAAATGAAAATTTCCTATTTGGTAGCTCACAGTAATTCTCCGTCAACAAAATAGCTATTACACGGCTTTATCTTTTAAAAGTTATTCAAAATACCACTGGACCAATATAAAGATAGTAAACACTATTTTCAGTTCTTGGAATATATCATGGTAACTGGGGACGTTCGGTCAATAATTTTATGGTCATCTGCTATTGATACTGATCTTGTCAGTTTGTATTAACACCACTAATAAGTCGCCCACTAAACAATCATGTTCATGTTAAGAAACCTTCCTGTGAACTTTCGTCAACTTTAAATAATTAGATATACTTCACTCTTTACACCTTTGAATTTTTCGAACGTATAATGATTGCGGTGGTTTAACAAGTTTGATGAAGCCGATGCTTGACTCGGCAGTATCATAAACATCTGCGTACCTCACTTATTGATGCGTGAAAGAACAAGGCTGGGGGCCACATGTTTTAAGATGCACTGCGAATTAACTGGAATTAATCAGGATCTCATCTATGTTCTCAACCGTGTACTTAATATGTGAATTCCAATTATTTGTGCGAAGACCAAATCGGCCCTTCAAAGTCAGCATCGTGTTTCAATTAATAAAAAAGCTTTTACACAAATCATCATTATATTGAAGATACCACGGGCATTTAGAGTTCGACAACGCTTCAACCAGTAACACCTTCTAATATGAATCGTACCCTTCAAGTGAAATCAAAAGACAGAAGCGAAGAGGTTCGAAGATATATTTGATAGGCTATCAATATATCGAGGATAGTCTGATCTAATCTAGCTAGCGATTGCGGTAGATGTTCAGCACGGCGTTCCCACACGTGATCTGGTGCGGATGCATGACCGAGCGCCTTCAGCTAGATGAGTCCATCAGAACTAATGTGGTCAACATCCAATGTTGAAAACTTACAGAGCAATTTATTTGGAGGATTTATTTATCGATACACATCATTCCCATTTAGTGGGGTAGTGATGACCCTAATACGTGGCCAGCCAGAATTTTAAAACCAACGAGTTTGTCGTTGGTAAACACTCTTCTGATAGCTTGCTAGGTTTAGCAGTGTCTGATTGTCTTTCCTTACTATAAGAGACCATGAAGTACAATAGAGTAATAAAATAAAATAAAAAGTACAATGAAGAGTTCCGTTCCTCGCAAACTTCATTGTTCTTTTTACAATCTTTTCCAGACGTTCTGGAAAAGAAAAAAAATATGTAAGTACATGCCGAAATACACTCGTACGCGCGTAAAAATACAAAGCGGGCGAAAAAATGGAAAATAAATTCATGCTCATATAATAGCGTAAAAAATGATTTTTATAATATGGTTTTTTTGTTTTGATTTTAAATAAAGAGTAAAAATATATAAGCATATTAAATTTTGTTTTTTTTAAAAATTATATATAAAATGCTAGGGAAAGTCAAGACGATATAAAATGTAAACTTGTATCTTACGTGCAATAATCGTTCAAATGTTCTTCGAATCTTACTCTTCTTCCAGAACGCGTTTTTTTGAGTTTATATCTAATACCACCGAAGTATCAACGTGTGTGTAGGATTTCTGTTGAGGTATTATAAGTGCATGAGTCGTGTCGTGTGATTGTACTGAAGGAAAGTCGATGTGAATAGGAGTTCCTTCTAAATACGCTGCTTTGAGGCGACCGATGCTGATGCTATCGTTGGTTCCGTTCTTATCGATTATATAGTACTTAGATTCGCGTTGAAGAACTTTGAAATGTCCTTCGTATGCTGATTCGAGAGGTCATCGATGTGAGTCTCGACGTACGAAAACGTGTGTACTATATCGTAAGTCAGGTTGAAGGAAAACATCAGTTGATTGTGGTCGAGTGGAAACAGGTTTAACTGAACTCATTGCGTTCGTAAGCCTGTTCGTGTAGGAGGTTAGATCCATGTTCATTGAAGAGGATGAAGAATCCACAAATTCTCCTGGAAGTCGAAGTGTCGTACCATAAACGTGTTTAGACTCAGTGTATCCAATGTCAGATTTCACTGCATCGCGAATACCTAGTAAGACGAGTGGAAGAGCGTCAGTTTACTGAGAAATGTTTGAGGCTGATAGTGACGCTTTTAGTTGTCGGTGAAAACGTTCTACCAACCCGTTTGCTTGTGGGTGGTTGCCAGGCGTGGTCAACCCTCGTCTGATTGCTGAGTCGGATGCGTCTGCTGAGATACTAATGGGTGCTTCAGTGTCCTGATGAGCAAGCATTGTTGCTTGAGCGATACGTTCCTTAACTGTGGAAAATGCTTTTTGCGCGGTGTTATTCAGATTGATGGATGTTGCATTTCCATGAAGTTGATCGGTAAGAAGCTTCATAAGGGACGCGTATGAAACGTCTATAGAAACTTACCAGACCGTTAAACGTGCGCAACTGCTTGATGTTGGTCGGTTCTGGGTAATCCAGAATGGCCGCCACTTTTGTTCTCAGGGATTGGATGCCTTGCGCGTCGATAGTGTGTCCTAGGAAGTCTAAGGAGTCAGTTTTTATTTGGTATTTCTGAATGTTCACAGTAATGCCGTGCTCTGTCCGGACTTGCTATTAGGCAGTCATCAACGTACGCATGTACGAAGTTGAGACCTCGAAAAACTTCGTCTATGAAACTTTGGAAGGTTTGCGCCGCGTTTCTTAGACCGAAAGGCATTTGCAAAAGTTCATGAAGTCCGAAGTGCGTTATAATAGCGGTTTTCGGAATGTCTTCAGTGGCCATAGGAATTCGGTTATTCGCTTTAACCAAGTCGATTTTCGAAAAGACAGTTGAAATTTTCAAGGTAGCTGTCAAATCGTGAATGTGAGGCAACGGGTAACGATCAGGAGTGGTTTTTGCATTCAGTTGCCGATAGTCACCAGTTGGACGCCAATCGTTGTTGTCCTTTTTAGGGACCATGTGCAACGGAGATGCCCATGGGCTGTTTGACGGTCATGTGATTCCTAAGTCTATCATGTGGTCGAATTCGTTTTTCGCCAACCTTAACTTTTCGGGGGCCAGTCCGCGTGCTTTAGAGAATACAGGTGTTCCTGTAGTAGTGATCTGATGTGTAACGTTGCTGGTTACACACGGCAATTTCGGTTTCGATTGGTATATGCCAGAATACTTATCGAGTAGTGGTTGATAGAATGGGTCTATATTGTGCTTAATTGTGACTGGAGATAATTTGCAACCTGAAAAAGAAGTGTCGCAAACAGATAAATTAGTATTTCCGTCTACTAGCCTCCGTTTGCGCGTATCGATGATTAAATTGTGGTGCTGTAGGAAGTCCATACCAATGATTGGCATAGAAACATCCGCAACAACAAAGATCCAGTGAATGGGTTTGCGTAAACCCACGTTGAGATAAACGTACGTTTTGCCATACGTAGCGACAGGCTTTCCGTTTGCCGCCTGTAGATTTAGAACCGATTCATGAAGTCAGTCGTTGGAATTCGCTAGGAGAACGCTAACTTCCGCGGCAGTATCGATTAGGCAGCGAACTCTTATTATCACGTCTGTGACGTATAACAGACGGCTATGTTCTCCGGCTGAAGTTGCCGTTAACGCGTGCCGGCTTGGAAGTCTCCAGAATCTTTATCCGTGTCTCTCGGTTTTGAGGTGGGAAAATTGCAGGGTGTTCTGATATTTCTGGAGGACTTTCCATACTGGTTATGATACCAGCACCAATCAGGTATATACGTCTCTCGAGGTCTAGGGACAGATCGCCTACGTGATGTGCTTCTCCGCGGGGTAAGTGATCGTTTACGGTCGTAAGGAAATTTAAGACAACGCGTAAGTGTATAATATAACTCTGTCATGTCATTCTGGGTCGTTTGAGGCTTTTCTTTGACTGAAAAACCTACGGCATTAGAAGATTTCGTGATTTCGAGAATGCGGTCGGCAGATGCAGCCAGCTCGTCTACGACGTTGTTTTGGAACGAGACCAAAACAGCTTGCACCTGTTGAGGAAGTTTGGAGAAGAAATGTTGTTTGAACAGGCCATAATCGAAGGTTTTTTGGCCGATAACTCCTCCCATTCTTTGCAACATGTCTGTGGCAGAACCGTGTTGCAGGTCAATGTTGTTAAAGAGTTGGTCTAACCCTTGTCGATCGGTTAGATCTCCGCGCTTAAGCATGGATCGTTTATGAGTTTTGTATGGTTCATAAACATCACTAGTAAACATACTAGGTGTTACGTACCTGTTGAATTCGCGCGATAGTTCCTTGGCTACTGCGAGGAATTGTGCAGGTGTGTCGTTCACACCGTGCTCGTAGAAGTCGGCTTCTGCGTGGCCGAACCAGGCTTCGATGTTGTCTGGCCAGAAAGGCATTAGCTGGAACGACGGTTGGGACATAGTCTTTTACTTAAGTAGTTTAAGTGTCTGTTCAGTCATAGTGAAATATCAAGTACGAGAACGGACGAGTGAGAAATATATATAAACAAAAACATGAAAAAATATCACAATGTATAAAAAATTAAAATAAGGCAGTGATATATGAAATCCCGAAAAGTAACATACCTACAGTTTGCAGTTTGGTATACCAGATCACGTTAGGCTCACCAATGAAGATGCGACAGGTATTTAGAGTTCGACAACGCTTCAACCAGTAACACCTTCTAATATGAATCGTACCCTTCAAGTGAAATCAAAAGACAGAAGCGAAGAGGTTCGAAGATATATTTGATAGGCTATCAATATATCGAGGATAGTCT